TTTAGCAAAGTACAATAAGGAATAGACTGAGTGATGCAGAAGATACTAATGCACTGTTTCTTCTGTTACAGGATCTCTCTGTCACTTGATTTGCTACTCTGCTCCGTATCTAGTGAAGCACACTTTTCAGTGGGAGCCATATCGCATTTTGATTTGCTTAGTGTGCATCCCAATCAACAGGCTTTCCTCCTCAAAACCAAGGCAGAGGTTTTAGTTTTTGCACCTGCACAAAGCTGATGTGTTCACAGCTAAATGATACAAGAACATGCAATGATGAGACATCCTTTTTCTTTGTTTGTTTCTTTATATTTAGCCTTGAATATAAATATAAGCCTTAAATATAATATTTACAGAAGCCTCCTACAGAACACACAAAGTAGAACAGCCTACTTTGGCTGTAATAATCAAAAAGCATCCTGGCAATCATTTATAAGTTTCTATTACATAAAAAAATTAATTCCACGTCTTCTAGGACAATGTTAATTTATTAAAGAAGTTCTGTAATTAAATCAGGCCTGATTTTTACATTGTGATATTTACATTGTGAGCTGCTTTCCACTATTATTTCTTCTATTCCTCCAGCAGATATTCATAGCAGTATAACATAAAGCTAACAATCAAAAAAATAAGGGACAAAACAGGGTATTGCAAAATACATGATCCCAGGATTATGTCACACAAGTGCCCATCTGAAAATAAAAGCCCTGCTCCCAAGCTCTTCTTCACAGATTCACAGAACGGTTGAGGTTGCAAGGGACCTCTGAAGGTCATCTTGTCCACCCCTCTGCTCAAGCAGGGTCACCTACAGCCAGTTGCCCAGGACCATGCCTAGACAGCTGTTGAGTGTCTCTAAGAAGGGAGACTTCACAGGCTCTCCAGGCAACCTGTGCCAGCACTCCATCGCCCTCATGGTGACTTGTGCTTTCTTGGGCTTTCCAGGGCTTTCCAAATGAAGTTAAATTTCTACTTCTACACAAATTCTTTGCACTTTCCTCTTTTTGAATTGAATTTGAATTGAAAGACATGAGGCAACGGGCACAAGTGAAATACACTTGAACACAATTTTTTATTTTATTTCTTTACTGAAAAGGTGGTCAAACACTAGAACAAGTTGCCCAGAGAGGCTGCAGAGTGTCCATCCTTGGAAGTATTCAAAATGCAACTGGAAAAGGCCTTGAGCAACCTGCTGTAATTAGAATATAATATTTCAGTTGGAAGCTACCTACAATGATCATCTAGTCCAACTGCCTGACCACTTCAGGGCTGACGAAAAGTTATAGCATGTTATTAAGGGCATTGTCCAAATGACTCTTAAACACTGACCGGCATGGGGCGTCAACCACCTCTCTAGACAACTCTACTTTAAGTAGGGGGACTGGACTAGATGATCTTCAGAGCTCCCCTTCCAACTTCAAATGATTCTGTGTTTATGATATCCTCAAAGCTGGCAATGTCTTTGTCGATAGCCATCTCACCATTTAGTCCTCTCCATTCTCTCTTCACAAGCTACTGATGTAACATCACTAGCAGATATGCAAGGACTGTTGCAACAGAGTAACTCAGCAAGGACTCCACCGTTGTTCCTACTCAGCTCATACTTTTGAGCCAACAAATGTGCAGTAGTTTTGACAGGTGAACATTAAGACTCTATAATGAACAGGACCTGCAAATCTTTTCTCTCCTTTTTCAGTAAAATTTTGCAAAGCTAGTCTACTTTGGGAAACAAGTAAGTATTTTTGACATCACATTGTATACGGTTCTGAGTATTTTTATGATGTACTTGTTAAATCTCCTGGTGACAGGAGACAAAATAGGAATAACTGTGTTAGAATTAATACAAAAGCTATGTGCTCGCTCAGTACAGACTGGCATATGACTGTTGAAAGCATATGCTGGGAAATCGTCTGAACACTTGTCTACTGAAAAGGAGCATCTTAAATATTTGAGTTTGTCGCACACAAGCACTCCAGTGTTCACAGGCTGTCATCATAACTGAGCAAAACCCAAGATTTGTGAACTAACATATTCAGTAATGACAGTTTTACTGGTTCTACATCTCCCTTCCTTCCTAACAAATGGTATTTTTTAGAAAGAGGTATCAACCTCACTGTCACAAGAAGGATGTAAACAGCCAAAGCCAAACTCTTAGCCAGTATTTTTAAAATCTGAAACATTTTCAGAAATATTTCTTTCAATATTTCACCACAATCCTTTGAAACACATTTTTGCTTGCTAGAAAATTCTCAAGCTTAGTTACACTAATAAGTGAGTTTCCACTTTTAGTTTTCAAACCAGAGAGACAAAGCATATGACTTTTAAAGAAACCTCAGTTTATTCCATGGCTCTCACTTTTTTGAAGATGCATTAATGTTACATACTTAGTAAGCACACATTTGCCCATGATACATCACTATGGATTCATCTACACAAACAAAATTGTCTAACTTTGTCCATTTGTGTTGTAATGCTGCTCTTGCTGCCAAGACATGCCAGGAGCATGGTTTCAGTTGCATAAAGAAGCCAAACTGTAATCTTGGTGCTTACTTTTCCTAACCACTTAGATGAGTGACTGATACAAAAGAGTTTATACTCAACAGCAATGGTAAGAATTTAGTTTCTACATTTTCATCCAGGCTAGGATTTTTCTGCAATATATTTTATTTGCAATACACTTCATAATTATTTTCAGGAAATTATTATCATTTAAGTGTATAAAAACATCAAGAACTGAAGAAAAGGACTGAGTGTCAAATGAATCTTAGTGACTTCTATATTAGAGTATTTCGATTTTAATTTAGCAGAAGCAAGCTTCCAGGAACATTAGATCATTTTGGAGTACTTTGGAAATTTGTTCAACTAAATCGGTGCAGATGGTTGTGGACAGGACAGGAAACAGGTCTCAAGAAACCTGTGTTCCTGATGCTTCTTTGTTATTTAGAGTCTAAATTAGGATGTCTAAATTTTACTACCAAAACATGCACTCTTAAGAAAGCTACCATTAAATGGCACATTATCACGTAATATTTTAATTATTAAAAAATATGCTGTAATCAAGTTCATATGCAGCAGATGATGCAAAACCAGTATCACTCACCGCTGAGGGAGAAGTCTGTCATTGGCTAGGTAGCCAAGTTTATGTATCTCCTTACTGTAATCTCCGTACTTGGACTGGACAGCATAAGAAGCCAGAAGAACTGCAGTTTCTGGTGGGCAATATATTTCATCATTTAAGATCGCTTCTTTGACTTGCAGGAAGAAAAGTCTCTGAGTTATTTCCTGAATTAATTCTTCAGATACATCCTCTGGAAAAAACTTGGCCCTGAACTTAAACTGCAAAGGATTCTCTTTCCTTACATCTTGCTGTGTTACCTGAAGGAGATAAATAAAGAAAAAAATAGAGCACTAAATGGTATATTAAATATAATTAACCCAATAGTAATGAACTCTTTAGCTCCTCTTACACTGAAATCCCGTGCTTCCTGACAAGTCTACTGCGGAACTCACTAAAGGTTCACATTGCACTGAATCAAGTACACCAGTTTGGATAAATCAGACAATTTTGAAATACTACTCAAAGGTTGTTGAAGAGGTTTTTTTAGGGTTGTGTGAATTTGTATTTATGACAATAAAGATCTGGAAAAAAAAGTCGTAATACATATTAAAAAAAAATTAAAACTATATCTGAGGATGAATTGCAGGAAGTGGCAAATTAGGGTCTAACAAGGTTTCTTTAGCAAGAACTACAGCACATTTCTTCTGAGTGTAAAGTTCGATTCTTTTAAAAGTCTTTGAACTATTGAACTAAATACATGTGCTTTGCTCCTGTGCAAAACATGTAATTCCATTCATCATATTATTTTTCTAGAATGAATAAGCCTTATAATCATGGTTTCTGTGAAGAGATCACATGGGTCATCTTAAGTTTTAAGAAGTGTCTACTTCAAGTTTCAACAAAAACTCATTTTTATGTAGAATTTTCCATTTCATTTGGGCTCAGCTTTCAGCACTGATTATGACTAAAGCAAAAACATTCAAAATTAAATTAATTTTAACATCAAATACAGTGATTGTTGAAAGGTATATTCATAATAAAATAAATCTCATACATCGCAATTCCTTAAGCACTTTCTTACAGATTTAATTTTATGTGCACTAGTAGTCCCTCTAGAACTTCTTCACTATGCATGAAATGATGCATCTGTGTGCTTGACTTGTAGGAAGTATCAAAAACTGTAAATATAATGCAACCATTTAATCACGTACACATGGCAGCATAAGTACTATATTCAACATTTCAGATGCCAATTTAAAAAGTTTTGCTTGCTTTTCATTATTGTCCATCTCCTTCTGACTTCCGTACACAGTATTTCACTTTAAACTCACCAGTGAACGATTAGTTATGCTCTTGCCATAATAAAACCTTATTTGCACATCTATTCTGTGATTTATCAGATTTTATCTGTATTTACCACAAATATTTAAATAGTAACTTACAAGTCAGAGCCAGTTAATGATGATGCATTTAAGAATCAAATGTTACAAGCTTAAAAAAAACCCAAACCTGCCTTAGTCAAAGTTAAATTAGCATACCCTTGCTGCTCCTGAACTGCACCAACAACTTAACTAGCTGAAGACTTTCATCAAGCAATTTCCTCTGTATTTTTTGCAAATGATGCACCAAATCCTGTAGTCTCCAACCACTGGAGGCAAGCCATTAGGGCTGACAAAATATCTGTAGCACTACAACGTTTATTGCATATGAAACAAGGCATATGAAATTCTAGGAGATAGCTTTGGTGGTTAGCAGGTTTAACTCACTGGATTTACCACAGAGGAGAAGGAAAGATTATATAAATGCAGACGGTGGGACTTTAGGTTTTTAACCTCCCTATTTACCTCCTAATACTGAAGATAAGAAAGGTATTCTTGATTAAGTTGAACTTAAAAAAAAATTTCTTTATTCTAGACAGTACCATTAATAACCTGACAGCCAATATTAAAATAAAAAGTGACCATTCAAACTCATAAATAGAATTAAAAAGTAAAATGACCTGGTTCCCAATAACTGGGAGATACAAGGTGCTCAGTGCTGTTGGGGAAAAACAAAACAAAAATTATCCTATAATCTACCTATTAGATACCTTAACAGAAGTTTAGGAGCCTAGTATTGGTGCCTTGTTTAAAGATCTATAGCTGTATACCTGCAAATTCCTGAAGCTCAAATACTTCACACACACACCCCCAGCTGGAAAACATTTATTCTATTATATTTTGCTACATGAGAAGAGGACAATCATGTGATTTTAAGTTTTCCTAACGCATGCATCACATTGGTACTGGAAATACAGGAAATGGTATCTCCTTCTCAAATTAAATGTTGATGTAGCTTTGCATATTCTTTTATAATTAACCAAACTCAACACTGTATTTTGTCATTTAAAGCAAATGAAAAGCAACTTTTCAACTAAATTTGAAGCCAGCTATCTCACCTACAACATTAAAGCAGCAAGCCTTATAAATGTATATTTCAAATCGTACACTTGCCTAAATTAGGGAATTGTTACCTTTTTATTTAGCTTCAGCCAAGTTGAGTAGCCTTTGCTGTCCACATACTGTAGCCCAAAAAACCAGACTTCACGAAGACCAACAGTTTTCACCACCTAAAGATAAATGATCAGTAATCATGAGTAATCACTACAACAGGATTTTTTTAATGGTAATTAAGCTACAGAAACCATCTCAAACTGAAATATAATCAAGTTTTAAAAGAACAAAAATATTTAAATAGTGGCAAAACATCAGGTTCAGGGAAGCATTCACCTCAGAGTTCTAAATAAACTCAAACACCATGTTGCCAAACTGCCAACTGGAGTGTGTGGCTTACTGCATACATCAAACTCAGCACCTGAGGAATACAAGGTAGCAAACAGGACCCTGGTATTTAAAAGCATGTCTGGGAAGAGAACTGCAGACCTACAGACAAGTACTTCCACTTCAACAGAAGACAACTGGTGAAACTGTAATAAAGAATAATACTTGTGGACAAATATGAGGTAATGAGGATAAATCACCTCCTTCAAATATTTTTGAGCTCTTCTAAGAATTAATGATAAAAGGGATAAGGATGATCTAACTGATAAACCATACATGAATTTCCTGTAAGATTTCTGATCAGGTCTGTCACCAAAGGCTACTAAAGAAACAAAACTGTCCTTGAATAGAGGGAAGATCTTTTTATGGATATACTAGTTAAAAAGAAAGAGAAAAAAAAAAACCAAACCCCAAACTGTTCTCACAACAGACTTGTAGTGTAACCACCAGGGAAGTCCCCAAGGACTTCATATTTGATCTGCAAAAAAGGATTAAACTGATGTGACAAAATATGCTGTAGAAAACCTTCCATAAAGATCTGTGAATGAACAGTTAAAAGGAAGATGAACCTCAATAAAAAATTATATTTAATAAAAATAAAATACTATACGTAAAAGACAACAATTTGAATTATGCAAACAAAGTTCTCATAAAGGAAAAAAGCAACAAATGTGTTATATTACTATACACATCTATGGTATTCCCAAATCTCTAATACCACATCTGGACTGGTCTCATCAACTTAAAAAACGATGCTGCAGCACTGGAAATGTTTCAGAAATGTTGAAAAGAATGATCAGTGACATGGAACATTTTCTGCATAGCTAAGATGATAACTAACGCTACTGAGAGAAATGAGGAAAGGAAAAATATGATATACGTCTATAAAACTTGCATGGCACGTAGAAGGAAAATAGAGAATGATTATTCATTATTTCTCATGACGTAAGAATTAAGAGAATCAACAGAAATCATTAGATAGCAGGTTCAAAGCAAACAAAAAGAAGCACTTTTACTACACAGTGTGTAATGAAACTGTGGAACTATCTTGCAAGTCTTTAGCATAGTAAAAGTACACATGGATTCAATAAGCAATTAATCAGAAAGGTCCAGCAAAGATTATTAAATAACTGTAAACTCTGGCTCCAAAAGATCCAGTATGGCAGTACTTACGTATGTTCTCAGGTTGGACCATGCTGGCAAGCTGGTTTACTGAAGGCTGTTTTATGGAAGTATTCAGATGCATGTGAAGTAAATAGAATTTTACACATAGATCCTCCTCCATTTTAAAGTAGTACTATCGGGTTGCAAAATTAAGATTTTGAAAATTAGAAAGTGTCACAAGATAGCTGTGCAAATTTACTTCTGATGCCTTGCATATTTGCATTATTACTTAACAATCATTCAACTGCACCCTTTTTCCTCTTCTACCCTTTCACGTTCAAGCTCCAAAGCACAGAACGGACAACATTCATGGATCCAACCTGATTCCTTTAGTGAGCAGTTGTTTTCTCTAGAATTCCTACATCATTTACTTTAGAACATAAGAAATGTTAAGAACAAGTTTACATTACTAGTATGGTCCCGAGTAACATTAAATTTGGTGTCCCAACACAGACATTTCAGACCTACTGCTTCTGTTGGCACAGATCTCCTACACGATGCTGACCAAATTACTTATGGCTTTATGAGATGACTCCGAGAATGCTCTTCACTTTGCAGCTGTCCAAGTTGAGCCTCTGTACCTGATCAGCTCTCTGAGCTGCAAAAGCCAGTAAAAACTGCAGATGCTCAACAGCTAGCCCATAAGGCATAAGGAGACAAGCGCCTATGCTCACGCCAAAACATTTTGCTCTCACCTGCTAACTACAGCCCTTCAACAGAAGCACATTGCACGTTATTTAAATACAGACAACTTGTCTACCACAGTTACACATGCTTGCAAATCAACACTAAAACCAGCTTACACATTAGCCTGTTTTACTTCACTCCACAAATAAGGAATGAGCATCATCTATCACTGCCTCTCAGCTCAAAGGAAAGAGGAAAAAAAAAAATTCTGAAACTTTGTACCAAGGTAATATAAGCACTTATGCACTGCAGTAGCATGATATGTAAAATAAGTACAGAATGAGAAACATAGGAGTTTGATTCTGGCTCAAAAGATTCATCATGTGGCTTCAGGCAAGTCTTCATCACATCTGAAAATAGATTTATCCACCACCACATCCTACAGCTTGACTACTAATAGGCAATAAAAACTTCTTGGAGAAGAAAAGCAATCAGAGCCATACACATGTTTTAGCAAATCAAAACATACACATAAAGACAACCTAGCAAGAATTTGAGTCAGCTTCTGAAAGATAGTAAGGGATGCTTCTGAGACATCTGGAAAGGACAGTGAGGTGTAACTTGAAACAAAGGAGACAACCCTCCCATTCTTTCTGAATGGCAACTACAATAAACCAGAGGTACTGATGCTCAGTGCTAACACCTTACTGAAAACAACAGAACAAAACAACCTCCACCATTACCACCAGTGTGTGTAAACCACAGGGTTCTTCCTCTGCTAGGAAAGTTATAGATACTAAATTGGTTCACTAAAGGAGGACATATCCACTCTTGCCCATTCTGACAACTGATAGGATAGACAGAAGAACTGACAATAAGTATGTTAAGACACCTTCTGAAATATGAGTGATTTAAAAAAAAAAAGGGGGGGGGTGCAATAAATAAGAACTATACTGAGTTTCACAATGGAAGAGAAAAAGAGAAAGCCACAGATGTCAAATCCTGAATTCTTGTGTGCTAGCAGATGAAGATGATGAAAACACACACATGGAACGGGAAACAAATCAACAACTCCAGAAAACACCAATTAAAAGCTTAAAAGAACCACTGACTGAAAAAAAAGGACAAGTTGTTTGCCAAAAACGTAGAGGAGCACTAGACAACAGCTAAATTCATGGAGAGGTTCTTTTCTGCAAGCAATAACCAACAAGTCTGCTGTCACATCCACCATTTCTGCATAAACCTTGAAGACCAACACTCTCAATAACAGTGCGTGCTGGTTTTGCCTGGGATACTGCTTCATAGTAGCTAGTATGGGGCTATGTTTTGGATTTGTGCTGGAAACAGTGTTGATAACAGAGGGATGTTTTAGTTATTGCTGAGCAGTGCTTACACAGAGGCAAGGCCTTTTCTGCTTCTCACACCACCCCACCAGCAAGTAGGCTGGAGGTGCACAAGAAGATGGGAGGGAACACAGCTGGGACAGCTGACCCCAACTGACCAAAGGGATATTCCATACCATATGACATCATGCTCAGCATATAAAGCTGGGGGAAGAAGGAAGAGGGGGGTCATTTGGAGTGATGGCGTTTGTCTTCCCAAGTAACCGTTACGTGTGATGGAGCCCTGCTTTCCTGGAGGCGGCTGAACACCTGCCTGCCAATGGCAAGTAGTGAATGCATTCCTTGTTTTGCTTTGCTTGCACGTGTGGCTTTTGCTTCACCTATTAAACCGCCTTTATCTCAACCCATGAGTTTTCACACTTTCACCCTTCTGATTGGGGCAGGGAGTGAGCGAGTGGTGTGTGGGGCTTAGTTGCCAGCTGGGGTTAAGCCATGACACAGCTGTTCAAGTATCTTTCTGTAGAGAAATAGCATAACTTTTGTCTGAAAATTTCATGCTGGTTTTGCAATACAGTTCAGTTCTTGATGTTACTCTGTGGAACTCACATGAATTTAAGATCAGACTGAAAATGCTTCTCTCCTCACACACAACTGTGCTGGTTGATTTTGCATGACCTAACAATTTTTCAATTTAAAATTCCAGAAGTTGATTGTAAGAGCTGGTGAGATGTCAAAAGCCACACAGTGAATTGAGGAACAAAGTTGAAGAGAACATGAAAAAGAATTCAGAGCTGTATCTTTGTTCTCTGTTTGTGAATGCCTCAATTTGGATGAACCTGATTACCTGGGCACAAGACATTACACAGCAGAATGTCACCCCACCCAATACTGCATGGCAGAAGATAGCAAAAGTTGGCAAATAAATACGTATTTATTGGTTTCTTGAGGAGAAACAAAATGACACGTTGACAAGCTTCTAAACATTTTCTAGAACACTCCACAACCTAGATCAAAAAATTGTTTCAAGATTCTGATGGCTAACATCCCATGAAATGAATGAGAGAACAACCCTTTTTAAGAAATCATTCTTTTAGCCCGTTTGACTGGTGTACGAGACACACTATCAAGTAAGAATGTGTAGTTCTGATGGGTCTGCAATCCATAAGCACATTAAAGCCATCATTTTCACTTTTCCCACTTAGTCTTTTTTTTTTTTTAATAACTTAAATTTCAAACTGGATCATAGGACAACATTACTTTTCTAACATTCAGGGAAGTGAAAAAGTGTCACAGCTTCCATTCTTGGAAAAAAAATAAAAGATGTTAGCATTCCTTAATGAACTTTTATTGTTACATTCATTATTAAATAATGAAGGCTATATAAATTTCTCATACATGTGATTCTAACAATTACATTGCAGTTGCAATTATAATGTGATTAGACACAAAAAGTACCATTAATTTCAAAGCAGTTCTATACGCATGATTCAGCTGAAGCCTCACTGTTAACCTATTTACACGGAGCTGTCTTTGAATTTAATACATTCCATGAGAAGTAATGAAGAAGTTCAAACTAACTGAGAGCATAGCTTAGATAATGTAAGGAAAAATGTAATCTATACATGAGAACACTTCTACTTTCTCAAACTATGCTTTAATACCCACAATAGTTTTATGTGTTCGTACACATACATACACAGAGACACACATAAGTTACCTGATCAAAGAGCTGCTTGCCTGTTGTATTGGGCTGGATGGCAAATTCCAACTCTGCATCCATTGTGGTTACCCTGACATTGATCTACAGAAAATAAAGAAATATTTAAATCATACTGTAACAGTGTAATGCTTCTATATACTGTGATTAGCCTGTAAGAAACAATATATGGTAAGTAAATTCAACAATTTTAATAGTCTTGTATACACACAGAACACAGCAGATATAAAACTGGAAAATTTGAATCAGCAAAAAAATCTCATCTTTTATTTAGTATAAAAGCATATTTAGGATAATATTTAACACTAGGTTTGAAGGTCAAACGAGGGAACAAAGTTCAAAATCAATTTAATGGGATAGCTGGCGTAACTCCTGAATACTCAGAGAACACTGGGACATTCAGCTATTGGGCACTATCTTTCAGCAGGCTTCCCAAATGTGTGCAAAAGGAAAAGTTCCTAGTCATACACATTATCATTTTAAGGTATTCATACTTGGCAACATAAAGAGACAAGCAGCCCCCTGCCCTGCCATTTCTAAAATTAAGAGGTTCAGCGGTCTTAAAGTATATAAGACTAGAGCTTGTAGACCTTAGGACAGATTAATAGCAGATTTTTTCATCAATAGAAGGAGGAACTATAGAAGTTAGCTCCCCTTAATACTGATCCCATTCAATTTCCTTACTGCAAGACTGAAAACCCACCACTATTCAATGAAAAACTTCTTTCTCCTGAAATAGAGGACCATTTTCCAGATGACTCCTGACAGTCACCATTCTTATTTGTTCTAAAACAAGCAGTCAAATATTCCAGGAGATATCTGGATGCCTACCTTATTTGGAAGTACAACAGCCTGTTCCAATTTCTCTTCAACTGGTACACACAGAAGTGAGAATTTTCATGAAACAAAGTACTAAATGCACAGTACTGTCTTCTCACTATTAAAATGATCCCTCATTCCTACTGCCAGGGTATCACACTGTATTTATCTTCAGTGAATAGGAATATAAAGTGTTAAAGGTCAAATCTACTTTGCTATAAATGCAAAAACCAGAAACATTAAACTTATTTAAGGCACACAGATATATTCTAATTTCTCTCTCTACTATAAAATATGGAAAAAGAATAAATTAGGACTTGTATTACAGGTTCTTACACTACTCGATCTATGCCTGTGTAAACCATTTCCATTAACTATTTCCCTAATTTTGCCACCAGGTGGAATACTTTGAGAAGTGAGAGTCTGGAAAAGTCTCCACAAGACAGAACGCAGAAGGGAGATCTAAGGTGCAAAAAAGAAGACCGGATAGAAGTTAGTTCCCGTGCAACAGATTAAGCTTGTTCACTCCTTTCTTTACAGAATCACAGAATGGTTGGGGGTGGAAGGGACCTCTGGAGATCATCTGGTCCAACGCCTACCCCTGCTAAAGCAGATTCACCTAGAGCAGGTTGCACAGGATTGCATCCAGCTGGGTTCTGAGTATCTCCAGAGAAGGAGACTCTACAGCCTCTGTGAGCAGCCTGTTCCAATGCTCTGTCCCCCTCAAAGTAAAGAAGTTTTTCCTCATATTCAGATGGAACTTCCTGCGTTTCAGTTTGTGCCCGTTGCCCCTTGTCCTGTCGCTGGGCGCCACTGAAAGGAGTCTGGCCCCATCTTCCTGACACCCACCCTTAAGATATTTGTAAGCATTTATAAGATCCTCTCTCAGTCTCCTCCAGGCTAAACAGACCCAGCTCTCTCAGCCTTTCCTCATAAAAGAGGTGCTCCAGTCCCCTAACCATCTTCATAGCCCTCCACTGGATTCTTTCCAGTAGTTCCTTGTCTTTCTTGAACTGGGGAGCCCAGAACTGGACACAGCACTCCAGATGTGGCCTCACCAGGGCAGAGTAGAGGGGGAGGATAACCTGCCTCGACCTGCTGGCCACACTCTTCCTAATGCACCCCAGGATACCACTGGCCTTCTTGGCTGCAAGGACACATTTAGTGTCAAGGTAAACAACTTTGGGCATGAGCTGGATACACAAGACAAGAGTAGCGAGAGTCTGAGGACCTCTAGGTTATAGACCTGCAAACAAGGAAGATAGCAGGGGGTTAGCAAACTTTTTTTGTGTGCAAACGTGGACAAAGAACAGGAGTTGAAGGCTTTGGAGTAAAAGATGGTAAACTTTTATTGCAAAAAGAAAATTAGAGGGTGTGTGTCAGTAGGAGGGAAAAGAGGTGTTTTCTGTAGACTCATTCTGCCCATTTCGAACGCAAAAAAACCTGCTTATTCTCTAACAGAATGACCTGTTTTAAATGGTAGGTCTATCCAACTGCCAGTTGCACTGGTTTAAGTGTGGGGGGTTGCACCTTAACTACAAGAAGTTAATTTTTTTAAGCAGTTTTTCAATTATAAAAATGAAGCCTGCTTCAAGGCAGCTACAAGTAAGCAAGTTACAAGGGATAAGGCTAAAATGTAACTTTATTAAATGCCAAAGCACTCTGTTATGTAACAGCAGCATTGCCAAAACAAGATGTATCACAGAAGATCTACAAAGCACAGCAAGTTCAACTAATTGCAGTTGACCTTTTAGAGTTGCAGCAGAAGCTTTTTACATAAATATCCTTGTAACAAATGTAATCTCCTACAAATGCAAGAATTACTAGCTGAAAATCTATATCCCCCACAAGAACTAAAACACTCAAATAGTAAAATAAAAGATGTAATGCAGAGGCAAACTCAACACAGCCTGTAGATTCTGTTTACTTCTGGGTGTTACTGCCTCAAATAAAAGTAGAATGCTATGAGTACACAACTGCTACATCTGCAATAGATACAAACACACATTAGGAGTACCTGGTCACTTACATGCATTACAGTACCTGTTTAAGTCTTCAGCAATTTTCTTTTTCTTTGAACTTTGGATTAACAGATTGCCCAACTGCTAATTAATATTTACACTTTCAGTTCTACTAAGAAAGTCACAAATTAAATGATAGCAATTTTAAAGTGTTACCTTCTATGATATGAGTTATTTAAGAAGAGATTTACAAAGGCAACACTACACTTGATTATTTTCCTTCTGAAGACATTTGGACTAACTGAGATTTTTGGCATACAAATACTGAGCTTTTACAACCTTATAACATTGTTTCACAGCTTCAGTTATTTCTGGGCAAGGAAAAGTAAGAAGGTTACTTTTGGCAAAACCTGAGACTGAGCCCAGAAGGTTTACTTATTTACTCCAAACCTTGATCACACAGCATGATCTCAACAAAATCAAACCTCTGGTGTCAGCTGTGTTGTCTGTAAAATAAAGCTAACCAACAACATTAAGAAGAGTCACGGGGGAAGTTTCCACATTATAAATAAGGCAGGGAATTGAGAAAATGTAAGCAGAGAAAGAAAGCCCAGTAAATTCAGCAATGGACTGTCACTCATAATCTGCTGTTGAGTATCCAGCTACTTTGAAGCAACACTCCTAATGTGACACTGGTGACAGGGGGAAATTATCTGAACCACAAATTATGAAGACAGACACTAATCTGAACATAATTACTCTGAACCAACTTTACCACATGAATACAGAAACAGGAAGGAGCTCTTGCAATGGTGACGAGAAATGTACAAAGGTTTCCTGCAGCAAGTGTTGGAAGGCTACCACTACTCATACCACAAGACCCATGTAATGCCTGCTTTTCAATCTTGCTCTCACCACGATTACACACCTTCCTTCAAAATTCAGAAACCATGACAAAGCACTAGACAAGACTTAGCCAATTACTTCAGCTGCTCAGTTGTGAGACAAATCCCGTTCTGCTGTACATGGGCTCAGGGTAAGAGCTGCAACAAGCCTCATGTTGCAGTCAAGGTATAATTTTGACTGAACTCTAAGTAGATATGCCTTGTAAGGATCCTACTCTGGTAAACTAATCAAGAAACTCTCTAGGTGGTTCTGCATTTCATAGGAGTATGCCTGAGCAAACATCTTTTTTTTTTTTTTTTTTAAAAGGTTAGAAGGTGGCTATACGCAAACATTATTTTTGGTGTCACAATTTATATCACTTACTACTGACCTAGAGATCTCTCTGCAAATATTAAATACTAAAATATCATGCTGACCATGTCCGGGAAATATTTAAAAATGCTATTATAGGCTTAGTAACTGGGTAACTTAGACTTTGTGAATCTTCTGGCAAGGTCCATGTGGCAAGAGATCCTCCCCTCCTCCTCCACGGATCAGGCAATGTCATACCCAAATGGCAGCTCTGCGATGACAGACAGAATTGCCACCTGGCAATACAGCACCCCTAGACCAGCCCTCTTACATCCAGCGCCAGAAATCACTGACTTAGGCCACCGTGACATACATGGTAAACAAAAAAACCCAACAGACAATCAAAAAACTCCAATGCTTCCAACACCCAACCCACAGAGCTATATATGGCTTTAATGCGGACGATATAAGACAGCTTCTCAGCTCCCACTTTAGATATATGACTATTAGTGATGTTCGTTCAGTAAAGCCAGGACAGAAAGTACACTCTTGTGCTGGGAAGAAGGTGGCATTCAAAAAAAACCCCACAACCCATAGGCAAAATGTTAACACCTTTAGCGTTTGCCTCTTTCTGGCATCATTTCATCCTGAATATATTGCCTTTATGCAACTATACATTAAATTACATAAGCCAAGCACCTAGACAAGCACAGGCTGTATTTAAAAGGCCATAATGGAAAAAAAAAATCAAAGGGCAGGTTAACAAGTTATTTTATTTTTTTAAAAAAAATTCCAAGAGGAAGAAAATGCTTAGCACAAAGTTTCCTTCAGCTGGCTCCCTTTAAGGGTGCATTTTATAAACAAAGCTGCTGTAAGAAGGAATAGAGAACACAGTGAAGTTTAGCATAACATAGAAAAAAGTCTGCTGGACATTTAGGAAAATGCTACTGCAAAGCTCTATTTTAGACCACCAAATCTGTTTAGAATACCAACACCTACCTCACAGCTTTTAAAGTGATTATTTAGCTTGGCTCATTTGCCTATACTGAGCAAAATAAACAAGTGGCCAGAGACAGAAACCTTTCACCATAAAAGGATCACCAAACA